CCACCGGCCCCTCGCTGGTCCCCACACCATCAGGACCTCCAGAGTCCCCTCTGTGCCGCTCAGCACACAGCCTGGGCAAGGGCCAGATCCTGCACCCGACCCACCGCCCTGCACTGGCCCTGCTAGAGCCCAGCCCCACCAGCAGGAGCCAGCGGCTTCTGTCTGCTGCTTTGATTAAAAAAAAAAAGAAAGAAAAGTGGTATCTCTCAACAAACAAGAAACAAAACCCAATTTCGCCTTCCTCACTCTGTAACTGAAGGCGTATTATCTATACGCTGGCGGAAACAGAAAGGCAGCTGCATGCCCCGCATCTCCGAAACAACAGCGCGGGGTGTCATTTATCGCCCGTCCTGCACGATGATCAATCAAGCCCTGTTTTGGCTGCTCATAAATTTACCTCTGTAGATAACGTACTGCGGAAGAGAGAGAGGGAGGGAGGGAAGGAGAGGGAGAGAAAGCAAGACAACAACAACGCCACTTATCCCCAAGCCAATCTTAACAGCTTTTGGCAATCTGATACAAATTGGATTTTAAAACCTCAACGAGCATCTAACAAAATTTGAGATGGCAACATATAAGGGTATTAATGTGCCAAAGAATCACGTCCCTTCTCCTTTTCTTTAAGTAAATAAAACTTGGAAAGGTAACGTAAAAACCCCAAACTTGTCCCGTGAAACAGTCGTTTCAAGGAGTTGCTCTGTAATACTCTGCAAGCAACCGGGCTTGCACAGTACTGATGTCAAGTTGTCAGATGCACAAATCTCCACCCTCAGTCAGGCTGATTAATATTTGAATGAAGCCCCTATCTCTATGTACACAGAAAAATATGTGCAAATGAGATACAGCAACATAAGAGAGACTAAGAATCCAGTACAACATGAGATTAAAGATCTTGCTTCTGCCTGGGGTCTGAGGTCAGCATCACTCGCTCTTCCTGAGGTGCAAAAGCATCTCTCTTGACTGTACACTAAGGGCCCTCCAAGGCTTTTTGGTCGACTTCAGTTGCAGGAGATAACACAGGTCCCTTGGTCTGGTGTGGGTGCATTTGGATTTTTTTTGGCTTGGATCCAATGCAAGCCAAATTATCAGACAGAGATGAGATACTCAAATGCCCTCCTACCGGGAAATGCAAGGTCTGGAGGAAGATGCTGAGGAGCCTGGGGCAGGGCTGTGCGTCCCAGTGCCTCTGCAGGCAGACTGCACTGGTCAGCGGTGCTTGAGGGGCAGTGGGACACACTCTTCAGACCTGGTACCTCCATAATGTGGCTTCATGGTCTCAACGTAGACGGGGCTCTCGTCCCTAAGAGCACGCACGGTGCTTGCTCTCGGCTGCCTGCAAAATGCTGAGAGGCTACCAGCACATATGCCAGCCCCGCTGTAGGTGGCGATGGAGCGAGACACCCCAAAATGGCCTGGAGCCATCCACTAACCAACAGCTGGCACTGGCAGCTCTGGGTCACTGGTGAGCTCCACGTCTGCCAGGAAAGTGCTTCTATTGATTGACCTTTCTAATCCTGCTGCACCTCATACACACCATAGCGGATTGAGCCAAAGTGCTAAAGTTAGGCTTGGGAGTCCCTGTTCCTCGAAACCCTTATCCTTCTGACAGAGCTCATCATCTAGAAAAGAGATTTTCTCAGTCAACTGGATCTGTTCTGAGTGCCTTTCTCTGAAAGAAGGCCAAGAGCAGGGATTCAGGGGAGATGAGGCCAAATACCCTGCCCTTCATGCCAAAAACCATCAGCTACTGGTATTAGGCGTCATTGCCAGCTGTTCACAGGACAAGAGCTGAGGCTCATCAGCCCAGATGAGTGGATCTGGACATGCAGCAATGACAGCTGGGAGCAGCTCGGTGGCACTAAACCAGGCAGCAGCAGCCCTGCGGAGAGCCACAGCAAACCCCGAGGCGGGCAGCATGGCTGAAGCTGGGGCACCACGTGCAGCTCCTGTGGGGGACGGCAGCAGTACGCCGGCACTGCGGCTTCCCTTTTCCTCCCTGCCTGCTCAGGCAAAGTGCAGGCATGCCTGTTTGTAACAGAAAGGATCTTAAAACAACAAAAAACCCCAGACAGCTCTGCTTTTCTGCCGCTTTGTTAATGACACGCTGGCCTCCAGTCAATACAATAAGATCCAAAGGAAGATACAAAGGTCACATTACGAGAACACAAATCCCCCAACTTCAAAGAGAAATGCAAAAACATTGGCAGATTATGGCTTAAGATTGCCTGTAGGTTTCCTGGTGACAGATACCACTCACGTCCCAGTGTGGACCTGGCCCCTGCACACGAGTCAGCATTGCAGCTCTGCTCTGCAGTTCCCTTGTGCCACTCTTCCAACGCTCCGTAAAGATTTTTTTTTTTCCTTCTGTGTTTTTTTTTTTAATTTAATTGCTTTCATTTACCAGCATATGCTGGACATCTGACATGCAAAAACCTTTCTAGACCAAGAAGGAACCATCACGCCTGCTTCCTGACATGAACAAGCTCATTTAAAACAAAATATGCACTTGAGGCAGGGCATCCTGTGCTGAAAGGCGGAGGCATAGCAATCACTTCCTCCCTGATAAAAAGCAGCGAAGATTAAAACCATTCTGACACCGAACTGCCTGACAAGGACTCTGTTTGTTTCAACACACGAACAATCAGACACACGTGCATTCGTGCCTACTGCAGCTGCAAACCGTGTTACAGCCACGCTTGGCAAATAAAGAGCAATCAAAACCAGGTCATTATCAGGATGGATAATGGCCGCATATAGCTAATCATACAGAAAAAAGTCAATTTTCAATTATTTTGCATGCAAATTATTTATCATGCTCCATTCCAGTGCCTTTTCTTCCATGCAACTTTGACGAGAAATGGATGCAAAGCAAAATTTTGAAAGCACTAAAATGTCTGCAAGCCACCTTAATCTCATTGACTTCCAATAAGACCTAAGTCAATTCCATCACATCTAAATACACCTAAAATACGTTTTATGTAATCCTAAAACTGTACTTAGAAGTGGAAGCACAGTCCCACGGTCTGAACACAGGCTGTTAGTCCTGAACTGGCCCTGGTGGCATCTCTGCGGAAGGGCTTTAGCAACTCATTTCACTTCTCTGCCTGTAATTTTTGCCTGCGTGCAGAGGATAATAATAACAGGGTTTTATCATGTATAAAGGGGTTCTGTTGGGATTAACATTTAAGAAGCACAGCGCGATCTATGTTTGATTAGGAGCAAGGCTCAAACTCTGACACGGAGAATATCTAAGAAAATGAGGATGTATAAAAATCACCATATGAAAAGCAGCTCTGTAACAGAGGAGCCGTTCCACCTGGCCCTGCAGGACCATCCCACTGGAAACCTTCAAGCTATGATTTGGCATTTCTACGTAAGTTTTTCTCCTCCTCTCTATCTCTCTCTTTTTTTTTTTCATGTGATTAACAGCTTTATTAATTTAACAGCTCCTTACTTAAGAGGATTCCACCAGCTTACTAGTAGGATTCTGGATAGACAGCGAAGACTGCACTGTGTACAGGAAGGCAATATAAGCTCATCCCAGCGTAACAACTTCACACAGTACTACAAAGACACACAATAAAAGTATTCTTCCTAAACTAATCAAACCATTAAAACGTCAGCCTCAGCCTAGATGCATGATGTATTGCGTTCAACTGGCGGGCAGTCAATTCGAATGGCATCTCCCTGAATCTCCCTGATTTATTGATTCTGACCACAGTACTTCCCCCCCCGTACCCCTCCTCGGTTTGCAGCGCTGCCTGCTTGTGTAAAGCCTGAGCGAGCAGATAGCCTGGCGCACTGCCAGGCACCGGAGCACAAAGCAGAGGCTTCTCAAACCCTTCCCCTGCAAGGCACTCGTGAACACAAATAGTAATAGTTGGAAAAAAAAATTAATGAAATAATCCACCTCGGGATGCAGCACGCATCGGTGTGCTGTGCAGTGTTTGCTGTAAGCCAAACAGTCGACAAACCAACCCATAAATAAATACACCAAAAAACTGAAGAAAAAAACCCGTATATAACACGCTGCAAAGTGGGAACGGGCCGGGGTGTGCTAGGAAAGCAGCACATACCACAAGTTGGATACAGACTGATTACTCAGCAAGCAGGAAGCCGGTGTCATGATCTGACTCACATTTCTGAAGTCACTCTGTGATGACTACAGTATCCACAGCCAGAGATGGCTCAGATTGCTCCTAAAGAAGTAATGCCAAAACTATGAACAGCTAGTTTAGAAGTTCATGGGAATTGTGTGACTTTTTTTTACTTGAAAAACATTGAATCTAACTCAGACAGCAACCTTCCTACCCCCTCTGAAAAATGCTGGTCTCCTCCAGAGCAAGCTCTAAGGACACTACACCCAACGCCACGCAGAGGTTGGTTGCTACAGGCCTTGTGAGTGCTCTTCTTGGTAATTGTGTTCACACAATAAAAAGATTTTGTATTTTCTTCAAAGCAAGGATTTCATAAAACCTTTACTTTTTTTTTTTTTAGGTATTAATGATTTTTTTAAACAGAAGAAAACTGTGCCTCTTCCCTCCATTACATTTTTTCTGCAAAGCTTATTACCTTCCAGCACAAGCAGTAAACCTGGCACAAGACAAGCTACCCGATAGCCCAGCTCCTGCCCCAGCCCCAATGTCCCCCCAGCTCCTCCTCACCTCTCAGGCAGGGCTTGCCCAGGGAGCTGTGTGTGCAGGCAGGGCTGGTCTCACCCACTGCCTACGACAGCCCATTTTATTCATCCTCCCCTAACACAGAACTAATTCACAGCTCTCCTCCAGCCTGGTTTCAACAATACAGACACAGGGAGTACAACTGCTGTGCTTGCGAGAGCCTTCTCCCCACTTTTTAGCATTAAAAAGCAGAAGGATAGGCTTGCCCGGTGACTTGGCTTCCTGCCCCCTCGTGCCGAAGGACTCGGCTGACGCCCACTCTCCCTTGGGCCACAGCCCCACGTGCAATATTGCATCTGGCTGGAGCGCAGAGCCGCTCACACGGTCCACGGAGGTCCTTCTGGACCGCAAAGGATGTCAGCCATCGCGCCAAGAAGAAAACTCCCAAACTTCCCATTCCCTAGAGAAGCTGTGGGGAGGAAACAGCACATGCTTCTTTGACCATCAAACACGGAGAAAGGGAGCAAATGGGGCAGAGTAACATCTTCTCAATGCATACCAGAGAGGGCAGCTCACGCCAGCAGTCTCCCATGGTCTGTGCATCTCTGTTTCACCCCTTTTTGGGGGTCTGGTCTATCAGGCATCACCTTCCCCATCAGTTTTTCTCTGTACTTTGAGTCTGAGTCTCAGCACTACGGTACTCCCTTCCCTCCAGGGTGTACATCCTCACCTAACCCCCCTTAGCCTTCCAGACACACTAGCTGGCGAGATATCCTGGACTGGTTCGTTGTCCCCCTGCAGCAACTTTTTATTTCCCCTGTTCCAAAACATTACCATGGCAATGCTCTTGCAACCAGACCTTCCAGCCTCAGAGCACACACTTTTATTCTGCTGAGAGTGACCCTTCCTGCACCCACCGACCCCTGAACGCTCAGTCTTCTGCAGGAAGCCCTGAAATAGGCTCTCGCATACAGCAGTCACGTCTGATTCTCCTCCAAATTTTACTGTTTCCTTCTTGGGATAGCATTGGCCCTTAATGATCTTTTCTTTGTCCTTCCCACTCTTCTAGTATTACTCACACACAAGCTGAAGGACACCTACAACTTTGACCACGCGAGCATCCTGTAGTCCTTGTAACAGTTTCCTCCTATCAATTTTTAACCACAATGATTTCTTACTCATGAGGAAGTGTGAATTTATGAAGAACAAACCAGAATGTCTCTCTGGGGTATAATTTTGCTTATTAATTAGCTTAGGATTAAAAATAGCACCAATGAGGTTCAATTGAAACATCCCCCCGTCTGTAACGGGAAATCCTCCCCTGGCTGATGGCTGAAGCTATTGCTGAAGTCAGATAAGATGGTATCACTCTCTTCTGCTCCTCTTGGTAGGAACTGACGTAAAGAAGTGAGCCAAGGGAGCCTTTTCCATACGCAGCAGCACAAATATGCTACGTTCTCTGAAGATGCTCAATGAAGGTGCTTATGGACTAAACTATTTATCTATTTGCAAGCAGAAAGGACTCAGGGGATGTTCCTTTTGCCCCCCATATCCCCAGGGAAAACCTCCCTTTTCCACCCTCTTCCTTATTTGAGAAGATACACAGAGTGCACGCTGCCAGATGGGAAAACACATGGGAAACACAAGGCATAAAACGGGATAGCACATAAGACTAATAAATGGGAGAAAGAAAAAACACTTCTTCCACAGTGTGGTGTGATCTTGGCCAAATAAGCATAGCAGGATTTGTGCAGGTTCATAACCTGCTTCAATAAACAACAGACTTTGCTCCAGAAGAGAAAATGTCCCTAATAATTAACTTTCAGGTTGCTCTGTAGGATTTTCTGATGATCCCTTGCTGCCATTTGGCATCTCTGCATGGGACTTTCTGGGCCTGACTCACATCTCATTATACACTGTTTCCTTACGCCACCATAATTTAGTCAACTCCAATAAACTTACTCATGATTTACATCACCCCCAGCAAGAAAAGAGTTGAGCCTTCCATCAGTTCCTCATTCTTAAGCAAAGCTTATTTTTTAATTTGGCCAAATTGTGTTCAGCACTGTTTCTCTGTTAGAAACCTAGACATAAGGAAAGCTAATGCAAAGATTTTTTTTATAATAGGGAAAAAACCAGGTTGATTAAAGACATTTATAGGATGTTCTCTGCAATATGAACACTACCAACACTGCACAAGAAAGACATGCACAAATCCATGTGAGAAAACATCCACATACACGCACAAAAACCTGCATTTCCACACTTACAGAACCAGTGCAATTTCAAACTACTTCTGTGCTGTTTATGGTACAATATGACCTTAAATATCCCATTCCCCTTTATTTTTAACCTAGGGTTCACATAAATTTGCTTTTCTCCTTGTATTTAATGCTCTTTAAAAAAACCACTAAAGAAAAGAGAATTTAAAAGAAAGCATTGACCTTTCTGCAGCGAAAGGGAG